TCAAATAAACCATTCTGCCATGGCAGATTCTTCACTCTGCGGAAAGACTGAAGACGCAAGCAAAACCCAAAATGATGTCCACAGTAGTTGGTGAGTACAATCAGCATACTAAGAAAGAGCAATCTAAATTCACTGTTCTTCTAGAACATATCAGATGTCATCAAATTTTCATCACAGTAGGAGTGGTTTATAATCAAATCAATATAGAAGACTTTTACCAAAGATAAATCAACTACTGTAAAACAAGTGTAGATGGGAGTTGAAGAATTGACCCACTGCACCATTTCACATCAACTGATGCTTATGCAAAAAAAGCAACACCTCCAGTTCTGATGTTCAGCGAAGGAAATCCACCTTTGCGAAACGCCATGAACTGGGATAATAACTGAAAATCACGACCCCGGAGAAATTCCGCCCATAGCAACAGGATCCATCGTACACTTGCTACTGAATAATGATGTTTAGAGATCACTTAGAAATACAACTCTCTAGGTGTTAGGTTTTGTTTAATTGGTGAAAGTTCTTAAAGTTTCTTATATGAAGCTCCTCAGTGTTAAGGTACTACAAGAAGAGATTCCTCTGATAAAGCAGAGCCATCGTCTCCCCCGCTCATATCAAAACTTTGCATATGAACGCCACATGACAAACCAAACATGAAGAGGGTGGCCTCAAATAGCATGGAACAATTTTGCACAAGAGCTTTTATTAGATGATGATCCAAATTAGGCACCTCCTTGGACCCAATATTGTCACAGAACTTCTCATGGTGGAATTTCTAAAGCAAACTAGAGAGAAGGAACCTTCAATTGTTTAAAGAGCATATCAGAATGATTTAAGGAATTCATAAGACATCTTTCAGGCTTGCCTTGGCAATGGCGTGAGCGGACGGCCTGGAATTCACCCCAAGAGGCCCTCCACCACGAGGAGCCCCAGCAGGTCTTGCACCTCTAAAGGATCCACCTGCCCTTCTACCACGTTGGGGCTTGCCTCGGCCCCTACCTCTCTCATTTTTACGTCTGCTCTTTATCATATCATCAAGTGTCATATCCAAAGAAGCCATTGGGCAGAAAGATTGCAACAAAAACTCTTTTTACGAACAATAGATCTGTCAATGAACAGGGAGAAGAGGGCATTGTTAGCATAAATTAGGTTATATAAGACCAGTATTCGTACCATACATCAACTCAGAGAAGAAGCTAACTTTAACACTTCTTATCAATCAACACAGGCAAACATGAGATCAAGACTCAAAACAGATAATTAAAAGTTTATGCAAGAGATGGAAAAAAGCATAAACGAGATCTAGGAAAATATCAAGAACATCGTTGACCGGCAAAAAAAAAAAGCAAATAAAAATCCACGAAGTAAACAAATAACCAGATGCTTCAATTTCTTCAAAACAAACACGGATTTAGAAATTAGCTGCTACTTTTCACATCAAAACCGCATACTTGAACAAAATTAACCACAGATTCAATCAAGCCTAAACAATCAAACCTGATCTGAATAGCTAAACAAACGACTAATCACGCAAGACGAAACTACTAGGGAGAAAATTAAATAAGAACATAAAACTTACCAGAAACAACGGCAAACAAACAAATCTCTCTGATTGTCGGGCGGAATATTAAGAATGGGAAGGCGATCTGTGATTGCTGAGCGTAATATGAAGATGAGAGAGGCGATCTGTGACTGACGAACGGTATATCAAGATGAGAGGGGAGATCTGCGATTGAAGAACGGAAAATCGATAGGCGAACAGGGGAAAGATGGCGGATGGATAGGTTGATTTTGATAGGGAGAGACTCAGAGGAGATATGTGGGGAGAGAATAATGGGGAGAGTGGAAGCGATTAGGGCTATATAACGGAGGGCAGAGGCGGTGTTGAATGTGTTCATGGAGGAAGGTGACCAATTGGGCTGCCGAAATCAACGGGGACGCGTTTCTGATTTTGGGCTGGACCGGATTGTAGTTTCTGGCTGTTGGCAATAGCTTTTTAATCACAAGCTAATCAATATACATGTTGAAAATTAATAAAATGTCCTCTTTGATTAATAAAATTAATCAAACTGATGTCTGATCTTCAAAATTGGTTATTGACAACTAAATTGAGAATAATTATCAAGATTTAAAGAGGCTAAAAGTATAGAAAATATTGTTCGAAAATGACATACTGCATAACTCATATGTGATATATGACTTTAGATGAATCTATATTTACAGTTGATAACCGTGGAATTAACACTCTCAAATTTGGCAAAGAGGAACGATTGGTGCAACATTTTTAAAAATTCTAGAGATATTGGTACAATTTTTAAAGTTCAAAGCAATCCGCGTAATTTTTAGAAAGTACAGGGTTAAATTGCGTAAAAAAAACTCAAAAAATACATAAAAATGTCAATACTCCCTCCGTCCTAGAAAGAATGTCACGGTTACTATTCTAGCCTCTCGATAACTTTTGTTTGTTTACTCGTTTTGGTTGACCATTTGATAAAATAAAATATTTTTGTCACATCTTGTTTTATAGAACTTTTCATATACTTTGAATGATGCAATTTTTACTTTTTATTAATCTACCAATTTGAAAATATAATGATTTTAAAAGAAATGATATTTTGCACGCTGTTCAAAATGTTGCAAATAATTTGGGACGGAGGGAGTATTTTATATATGGAAATTAGGACAAAAATAGCACAACTCAACTTGCTAAAATAGTTTCTTTACGTCTTAAATTAATCTTCTTGTTTGTTTTTGTGTAGTTTAAGAAAAAATGAAATTGTTTAATTGAGATTTATGGAGATGAGAGAGAATCAATCTATAGACCTCTTATTCCATTATTTTTAAATAATGACAAAATTATTTTTGGACAACTCAAAAATAGAAAAGATTAATTTGAGACGCAGGGAATATTTAGCAACCTCATTATCGCATAAGGTCAAATAACTCCAGTGCTCCCAGTGACTTGGAAAATTAGCGCTAATACCATCTTTGTTTTTGAAACTTATTTCTAAAGTCTCTGTGGTTTCAAAACGTTACACCCACACCCCCTTTGATCATTCTCCGTTTCAGAAATTTTTTATTTCCTTGTTTCGTTTTCCTAGAAAAGTTTTTTAAATCTCTTTTAAATTTTTATAATGTTTCAAAAAATTCAAAATTCTTTGTGTTTGAAATAAAAAAATAACACATACTCTATCTATCTCAAATTAAATATTTTAACTTTTTTTTCTACACTAAATTTTTTTGGTAAGTTCAAAAAGAAAATCAAGAGTAAAAAAAGTATAAAAATATGAAAAAACGAAATGAAAAAAAATTGAAACATCCAAAAAATAGTCTTATACAAAAAGGAACTTTCAGAGTGTCTAAAAAGTCCTTAAAATTGGGATGTCCAAAAAAGATATTCATTTTTTTGTTTTATTTTATTTCTTATTTAATTCCTTATTTTTTGAAGTTCTCAAAAAAGAAAATGTTACTTTTTTATTTTAGAAAACAAAAAATAAAAAGTGTTAATTTGAGACGTATAGATATGTTTTTTAAAACAAAAATAGTTTTAAATTTTAAGAAAAGTATAAAAAAATTTAAAAAAATTTAAAAACCTTAATTAATAAAAGAAACATATAAAAAAGGGGAGAGGAGGACAAAAAATAAAAGAAAATAAAAAATGAACACTAGTGCCCCATGTAGTTTGGAAAGTAGACACTAATGTCCCTTTTTTATCCAAAAAATGATAGATGGGGTATGAGTGCAATATTTTGAAACCATACGGACTTTTAAAAAAAATTTGAAAGCCCCATTTGGAAAGTAGGCACTAATGTCCCATGTGGTGCATATTTTTCAAACCACATGGTGTACGGGCTATTTGGCATATCCCATAATTATCTTTTTTGTTTTCTATTTGGATTGTCTCATTTTTTTCTATTTCTTGGAAAGAAAACAAATATTTGGTCTATATTAATTAACTTTCATCCACACAAATCACTATAACTTACATTTCACTTTATTAAAAATTAAAAATTATGCCAAGTTAAATATTAAAATAATCTTGGCACTAAGGGAGAAAATCAATATGCACATAAAGGCTCCCATACTGTATTATCCATTGAAGTGTCTTCCACTCTTCCATAATTCATAATTTACACTATGTTCAATGAGCATAGGAGATATAAATTTTGATATCAAAATTTCTTTTTGGATATTTGGTGAAGCATAAAAAATTTTGAATTTATATGTCAAGATTTTGTATTATGTTCAAACTGAGAGTTTTGATATCTTAATTTGGGAGATATGAATATGGAGTTTTAATTTCTCTCCGAGCTCTCAATCATCTATCGCCCGCTATAATTGTCATTGTCACCCACCCCTGTTGTCGATCTACCTCTAAGAGATTCATGATTTCAAATCTTCCAAACACCTATATTTGAGGCATATATACCCTATATCATTTCTTTCAAATTTAAAACTCAAATCATATCATATTTTCAAAACTCAACAAATTAAACGAGCCCTCAAATTCATATTGGATTGACCTTAGCCACCTCGACCAAGACATTGTTTTTAAATTTGTAACAAACAAAAATGCATCACAAGTTCACAACAAAACAATGTACTCGCTAATCATTGTGCTTGTGCTTGGTTTTAATTTGTCCAAGCTAAGAAACAAAGCTATCATCAATAATCAGTTTTACCCTTCTGTCATCTTTTCTTGCCAAAAACAAAAACTAAAGTTTGGACTTCATCCCCTGAAATTCCTCAATGCTCGCACGGAGAGTAAACTCGCCATTGTCGGGAATCAAAGTCAAATATTACCCCCTTTGCCTCCTTTTGACACGCTGAGCTACGCCACAGAGCGCGAGCTTTTCTTGCCAAACACCGTCAAAATAGCTCACCCACTCAAGAAGCTGAATTTTCTAGAATGGAACAGTACCAATACCAGCAATCCTATCCGTTGAAATGACTGAAATGTTTGAATCCACCAAATTTACTTAAAGGAAAAAGGAAACGAAAATGGGCATCAAATTTTACTCCATAGTAGATTACAGAAGACAGAATGTCACCATCATTTCATTAAAGACAGGGATGATCAAACATTAGGACACACATAACATTCTCCTACAATTAAAGGGGCACATTAGCCTACAATGCTTAGTCTAAGACACACAAACATACAAACAATTCTACAATTAATTCAAGTACTACATGCTGGTAATTATAACCAAGGGAGAACGCATCAAATGACCTTCAAAGTTCAGCTCATTTCAACCCCATTGTCCTGTGGCAGCGGTGGGGGCTTCACCTTCCTTGGCCTGCCCCTCGGCCTGCCCGTTTTGGAAGGGATGGGAGGAGGAGCAAGAGGTTTAGGCTTCTTGGGGGCTGGTGGGGCATTGGGGTCTTTCCTTGGGCGGCCTCTGCCCCGCTTGGGAGGGACACCCGGGCCTGCCTTTATGTAATTGTTCTTCAAGAAGATGAGCTCGCCGCTCTGCTTCATTCTGTCCAGGTGGTAAACCAGCAGCTTTGAGTCCCCACCACTCATTTCTCCATACTTTGTTTCTATGTATTTTGCTATTGCTGTCTTGTTTGACCCTTCTTCTTGCTTCAATGCATCCAGAGCTTCAATTATAGCCTGAAACAAACACAAAAGAGTAACAAACCAAACCAAACCAAAAATCTACATGAAATCTTAGAAAGATTTTCTTGTTTACAAATCATGACAATTAGACAACATTTTCTAAAACCGACTCTGCAATAACTGATTATTCCTTATATTTTTAGACAATTTCAGTATATATTAAAAAAGATTACCAATTTAACATTACTCTAGAATCAAAACTTACAAAAAAAAACCAAAAAACATAAAAGTGATTATCTCATCTGTTTTTTTTGGCACAAGTGAAATCGACAATCCACTGGATCAAAGACATCTGCATTTCATCAAGGTCTGAGTTTCTTGGGTAAATTCGAAATTGGGATGTGGTGGACGAAATAGGGTTTGGCAAAATATCCAAAAGGATTGCATCTTTAGCATGGAAACAAGAAATCTGGGAAAAAAACAAGCGATAGCAATGGTGTATCTGTGAAATCTGAGAGAGAATGTAACAGAGAAAGATAAAATCCAGCTAAATGGGGACGAGAAGACATGAAAACACAAGAATTCGCCTGTTTATAAAATAAATACCTGAGGGTAGTCAAAGTTGGAAGGAGGCTTATTGATCGGCTCAGACGCCATGGACAAGAAATCGTAGCTCATAGAGAGAGAGAGAGAGAGAGAGACAGAACGCTCAGAGAGGAAGACGAAGACGAAGGCTTTTGTGGAGTCCCCACACGATATAGCAGTGTCAGCTGGAAGAAGAAGAAAAAAGACTGGGTAGAATGAACGGCGGAGATTGGTTTGGAGGGTTGTAAGCGACGGCTGTGGAGCGATGGCTGTTGGGAACACGAGGATCGATGACGTGTGGAGGGGGACGAATTGGGCTCTGATAACGAGGCAGGCTGCAATAGGACATTTCAGACCGATGATAAGGATGTGGAGATGGATTCTAGTGAAATGATGATAAGAGTCAAAGTAGGCCATTTTGGCTGAAACGGATCTTTTGTCAACGGCCCATTTTTCAATTGGATATTTCCAAATTTCAAATGAAAAGTTGATATGAATATTCCAAACACATTTGTAATTCTAAGTTGGTACTCCCAAATTGAATAATTTATATCTACGGACAGCGTTTATCGTTAGTGTTTTCAAAGTAATCTGCACCATTAAAATTTTAAATAAAACGCTAACGATAATCTCTAACGTTATTTCCAAACAGGCTCTATATCAGTCTCAAATATATTTCTTATATTTTTCAAAATAAAATAAAAAATTGGGACATGCAAATAAAGAATAGGAAATGAAATACAATAAAAGAAAAAATTAATAGAAAAAGAAATGAAAAACGGAATAAAATAAAAAGTATTATAGATAAGAGAAAATGTCATCATCTAAAAAAAGAAACTTTTAATGTTCTAAAAAATCATTTACGTTGTAAGGAACATTGAAAAAAATAAAGTTAATTGGAAGGACATATTTGTCATAATAAAATCGACTGTTCACATGGTAGCTCCCTATGGTTTGAAAATGGAGCACTAATGCCCCCCTTTATGGAATCTCCAACGCACCAATGGAGCGTAAGATTTACGCAGTACAAAAAATTTATTGGAAGGGTATAGATGCAGCTTTTAGAAATCATAGGGATTTTAGGAGTAAGTATTGAAAATAGGAGGGATTTCGATGCCTATTTTTCAAATCATAGAGGAGTTTAGCACTATTAGGTCTTTGGCATTCATATGAGATTTCACCGATCGTCATTGCTCCCAAATATAGGGTTCATGTGATTTTTCTTTCCACTGTATCTGTATGTTTGTGATTTAATTTGAGTCTTATTTGGGGTATTTAATTTGGGTCTTATTTGGTGTATTTGATAAAGCAGAGTTCGGCCTTTTTTAATTTAAGGGAAAAATGCATCGTTTACCCCTGAACTTTTTGGAAATTGCTTGGTTCCCTGGACATTAAAAAGTGAACCATTTACTCTCAAATTTTTCAAAAATTGTGCGATTTATCCCTGAACATTAAAAAAGGCATCAAATAACTCTGAACAATTTAAACGTTGCACCTTTGGTCCTAAAATGCTAGTTAGGGAGTGTGTTGCTCCCGCGCACGGGAATTGCAAGTATGATTCATCTGGTCCTTGTGAATTCTCCAAGGTACGCTTTTTCAAAATTATCGTCTTTATTTTAGTGTTTAAGGTAAACTGTAATTTTCGATGAGTTCGGGATATTTGGTATACTTTTTAATGTTCAGGGGTTAACTGTGTAATTTCTTAAGAATTTAGGGGTATTTGGTGTATTTTTTAATGTTCAAGGATAAATCGTGCAATTTCTAAAGAATTTGGGGATAAATAGTACACTTTTCTCAACGTTAAATCTGTGTGTCTCAATCTACCTCCGTTCTTTCCTGTGGACGTAGCCAACACGACGTTGGTGAACCACGTTAAATCTGTCTGTCTTTATATTTTCTATTTATTTCAATTACTCTATTCTGTAATAACAGTCTCTAATAGGACTTCGAAGCAGCGAATCCTACTCGCGAGTCTAGAGGTTGGTTCATGAATTCAAGTTTATAATCACTCTAATGATGCTTACATTTGGTACTGATGCAATATACATGCATTAGACATTAAAATAGATTTATTAATAAGAGTTGTACATCTACTCCCTCCGTCCCTAAATATTTGCCACACTTGTATTCCCGAGACAAAATATCAAGTTTTTTCAATTCCTTTTATTTACATATTGGTATAGAAATTAAAAATAAAATTTAAATATCAAAAAACTACATGAAAAGTTATTCGAAATAAGAGGTGTCAAAAATATTTATTTTATCAAATAACCAATGAAAACGTAGAAATTAAGAAAAGTTCCTGCGACTACTGAAAAGGCAAACGTTGCAAATATTTTGGGACGAAGGAAGTATTAATTAGGTGTTAATTTTTTAAAAGCTATTAGGTGTTTTAATCTATGTTAGGCTTACCACTAATAGCTAATATTTGAATGGGTAATTTACCTAAATATGACTAAAACATAATGACTTTCCTAATATAGGACCATATGTTTTTATTTTCCAATATATGACCTTTGGTCATTATCAAGTAGTCATTATTCAACTAAATGTCCATCATTACTGGGCATTATTCCTTCCACTAGGTCATTATTAAGTCCTATTTAGGGAATAAAAAAGTTTAAGTCATATATTTAGAAAGTCATTATGTTTTAATCCTATTTAGTGCAAATTTCACTATTTAAATGTCTACTTGTACATTGTACTATACTCCGTATTATACTATGAAATCACACTAATAACGCATGATATGACATAAGGTGATCGTTTTGAATATTATAAATTTGTTAGGCTGAATTATAACAAAAGTGAATCAATGATGGAATGTGTTTTTGCTTCAGAGCAGTCATTGGTAAAATATTGTTTAAGATCCATTTGGTATACGGAATTGATGGAATTGGAATTGAAATTCTATAAGATTCAATTCCATAGAATTGAATACACCAAATTCAATTCATTTGTTGCACTATCAATTACAAAATGACATAATTTTTATGCTACCAAACACTGAAATTAGAATTGCTTTTTCAATTGCAATTTCATAGTTTGAATTCCGTGTACCAAACGGAGCCTTAATGTTTCTTACCACTTAATTGTTTTACAGTTTACTAAACTGTCTTTTTATTTTTCTTTTGAAAACAATAATTTCCATGAAGGAAAAATGTTTTTCCCAATGCCGCAAAGATGAGTAGGAAAAAAGTGTTCTGCATTTGTTTCCCAGCTCCCCCCTCTAGTTTTCAAAACAGTTGTCCCATTGGTTTTGAACTAGTTATGTTTTATGTTGGTCTTACTTGTGACTCATTGGCTTAAATTGTTTTCACTAAGATTTGGTGCAAAAGAGAGAAAGTGTCACGAAGCTTTTACTTATTTGTGAGAATCCAAGTTTAACTAAATAAACAAGGTTTAACTAACTAAATTGAACGCGAGTCATTGTGGAAATAGAATGTAAAGAGGTTGCAGAGCCATTCACAGTCTCTACTTTGGATTGATTTTATTTTAATTCTATTATTATTATTATTGATTGTAAGCATTTTCAAGCACTTTGTGGTTGAAATCTTAATAAAGTTACTTTTACATCTAGCTCTTTAAATGAGGCGGCACACTTGTTGGCGCGCGCTACTCATTCTGTTGAGAGTAGAGCTGGCAAATCGGTCGGTCAGGTCGGGTTCGGGTTCGGGTTGAGAACTGTATGTTCATGACCCAGTATCGTCGGGTTCGGGTCGACCCAACGGGTTATAACTTTGATTTTTAAAATTTTTAAATTCACATTACAACTTACATTTTCTATTAAATAAATTTAAAATATCAAAAAAATGTATTAAATCTATAAAATTGATTTATTTTAAACTCTGAAGTAATTTTTTAGATATATAAATCAATATAAAGAATTTAAAAATGCTTAAGTTTTGGAAAAAAGTAAGATAATTATGCAATATCATTAAAATTTTCTCTGCAAATATAAATTTGTACACTAAAAACGAGTAGTAAAGTGTATGATTTTGGNAACTTACATTTTCTATTAAATAAATTTAAAATATCAAAAAAATGTATTAAATCTATAAAATTGATTTATTTTAAACTCTGAAGTAATTTTTTAGATATATAAATCAATATAAAGAATTTAAAAATGCTTAAGTTTTGGAAAAAAGTAAGATAATTATGCAATATCATTAAAATTTTCTCTGCAAATATAAATTTGTACACTAAAAACGAGTAGTAAAGTGTATGATTTTGGAAAATTCTTACTTTATCGGGTCGGTCAGGTCGGGTTCGGGTTCGGTCAGGTTTGACCCATTTTTAGCGGGTCATTTCGGGTTCGGTCAACTTCGGGTTCGGTCATCAAAATCATTGTTCAAAACCCAGCGTTTTCAGGTCGGGTTTCGGGTCAAAAACAGGTCGGGTCATTTTTTGCCAGGTCTAGTTGAGAGTGTAGGAGAATGGATGGGCTCACCCCCCAACTTTATTTCCATGGTTATTTAATAATCTCTCCTTCCTACAAAACCTTTTTCCTTTCTCTTTTACCCGTCCAAAAAACCTTTTTTTAAAAAAAAGTCACTTTTACCCCTATTAATTTTTAGCCTACCTATTACATCCCACTTTTTCACGTATATTTTAGAATAAATTTCATAAATGGTCCCCAATTATATGTAGTTTTCCATATATAGTCCCTAATTATAAGATATTTCATAAACAGTTCTTAATTTTTGTAAACAATTTCACAAATAGTCTTTTTCACCAAATATGACAAAATGTTATGAGTAAATTTTTAAAATGATCCTTTCTAATAAGGTTTTTTCCCAAAGTAATCTTCAATAAGCTAAAATTACTAACGTGGTCTTTTAAAATTGAGATGTGTTTCGTAAATAGTCCTTTTTAAAAAAATGCTTATTAGGTGATAGTTAAATAGAAGATATTTTGATGCTCTTCATTACTTAAACTATGATTAAGTCCCACTATTTAACTGTAATTAAATAAAGAACATCAAAATACCATCTATTTAACTATCATTTAATACATATTTTTTATAAAGGGTTATTTAGGAAACACGTCTCAATTTTAAAGGACTATATTAGTAATTTTTGCTTATTGAGAATTACTTTAGAAAAAAACTTTATTAGAAAGAACCATTTTGAGAATTTACTCAAAATATTTTGTCATATTTGGTTAAAAGACTATCTGTGGAATAATTTTCAAAATTGAGGACTGTTTATGGAATATCTTATAATTAAGGACTAAATATAGAAAACTACATATAATTGGGAACTATTTATGGAAATTACTCCATATTTTACTCATCACATCCAAAGAATATTTTTCGAAAGTCAGCACTAAAATACACTATCTTTAAATTTTTTAAAAGTCAAAATTAGAATTATTTTGCGGAGGAAGTATATGATCCTTCAAAAAAACTAAATTGAATGGATAAGAAGAAAAAGTCTATAAAATATCTTTAATGCTTGAGTGAGTTTGTAGTATCTTATCATCATTAGTCATATTTTGATATGTTGAAACATCTAATACATCAAAATTGAAGGAAAATGGCAACAAGCTGCGCCGCTAGTATTTTTTGAATAACAAAAGCAAGTCTTTAAAATCAATTGATTGTTTTTTTATAAACTCTTTTTAGTCTTTTTGATCTTTACACAGTCTTTCTCTTCTTGTTTGAGTCTCTGATTGTGTACTTCTCGTTTGGTCCGCCTGTCTTCCCACACTCCAACCTATATACGAGTAGTTAAAATGAAGACTAAATTTCATAAATGGTCTCCAATTATAGATCGTTTTACATATTTAATCCCTACATATTATATATCAATGATTTAGTCCTCAATTATTATATTGTTTTTCACGAATGGTTTTTTGTTAACATTTGCCCAAAGAACATAGATAAAATTGTATATTCACACTTCTCTCCTTCCTCTATTAAGCTTCCTCCCTCCTTATCAAATCTATCACTGAGTTTGAAGCTCTAAATCTAAACCAAAACGATTACTCTTCTCTCAATAGTTCATCTTCCTCATGTAACCCACAATCAAAACCAATAACCTTCAGGATTGCAAAAAAAAATAAATCTTAAAACTCATCGATGAAGGTGACTGGCTTCGGTTTTGGGTTCCACCAGGAAGACGAAGAATTGAGAAAGGAGTGACAATTTCGGTTTTGAGTTCAAACCTTCAAACTCAGTGACGGGTTTGATAAAGGAGTGTGATGGGAGGGAGGAAGATTAATTGAGAAGTGTGGATTTACAATTTTTTTAACGTTCTTAACAGAAATGTTAACAAAGTACCATTCGTGGAAAACAATATAATAATTGAGGACTAAATTATTAATATTTGATATGTAGGAATTAAATATATAAAATGAACTATAATTGGGGACCTTTTATAGAATTTACTCTAAAATAAATTTGATATTTATTTAATACAGAATGAATATATTACTCCCTTCGTTTGGAAAAAGCCTTCCCACTTTGACTATAAGGCAAAATAAGGAAGTGTAAAATTATAGTTGACTTCCAATTTTGCCCTTGATGTGATGGGTAAAAGTAAGATGTGATGGATTTATTATTAGAGAAAAAGTATGATGTGATAGGTAGGGTATGAAAAAGTAAGGATAAAAGTGATTTTTAAATAGAAAGGGAAAGTGTTTTGTTAAAAATGAAAAAAATGAAAGAGGAAATATTTTTTAGAACAGAGTGATTAGAAATTATAATAAGGCGGGGTATCTATTACTCCATACAAAAGAGTATATGAAGCTACAATTTTTAGGGTTTCCATATTCAAGTATATCTTTAGAAATACTACCGTCCTAAAATGATTTACCTCTTTACTATTATGGTCTCTGGATAACTTTTGTTTGTTTGCATATTTCATAAAATAAAATATTCTTATCACCTCTTGTTTTGTAAAACTTTTGGTGTACTCCGTAGTTTATAAATATGTAAGTTTTCAATACCAATTTATGAAGAAAATCATTTTAAAAGTCATGAGATTTTATACATTGATCTATAGAGGCAATTCATTTTGGGACGAAAGAAGTACTTTAAATTTAGAAACTTTCAGTTCAATTTATGATACTCCGTAGTAATTATCGCTTGATGAAGGTAGGTTCCTAAGCCTCTGTTTGGTTGGGGCGGAGGGAAGGGGAGGCAGAGGAGGGATGGGTTCCATTTACCTTGTTTGGTTGGGGAAAAACAAGAAAAGGTTACATATTACTTTGTTTAGAAATCATTCTAAATAAGACTAAAACATAGAAAAAGTATCAAAATAGGACTTTCATGTTTTTATTCCTGAAATAGGAGTTCGTACTGTGGTAATGTGGCATTGTACACGTGCACATTACTATACTTTTTGGTAATGTACATGACCATGTTTGATTATGTAAATGTATTTCAACTCCTATTTCAGGAATAAAAACATGGAAGTTCTATTTTGATATATTTTTAATGTTTTACTTCTTTAGTCTTTTTCCTTATTTTGTTTGGTTGGAGGGAGGGAAGGGAAAGGAACAAAATGAATTTGACTTATCTTATCTATAACTTCATGCAAAAATAATTTGAGTATTATTGTGTAATATAAAAACTAAATAAAAACTTATTCTTCAATATGAATTGACAAAACATAAAATCATATTCATTGTAAAAAGTGAATTGTCACCAAATGATCTATCCCTGCTCTAATATCAATAACATTCAAAACTTTATGACGAAAATATAAACCAAAACATATAACATGCTCTAAGAGTCGTTCTACTAATTTTAGACATGGCAAAAAATGACCTGATCTGTTTTTTACCCGAAACTCGACCTGAAAACACTAGGTTTTGAACAAAGGTTTTGATGACCGAACCCGAAATGACCCGCTAAAATAGGTTAAACCTGACCGAACCCAAACCCGACCTGACCGACCCGCTAAAGTAAGAATTTTTCAAAATCATACACTTTACCACTCGTTTTTTATGTATAAATTCATATTTTTAGATAAAATTTTAATGATATTGCATAATTATCTTACTTTTTTCAAAACTTAAGCATTTTTTAAATTCTTTATATTAATTTATATATCTAAAAATTATTTTAGAATTTAAAATAAAATAATCTAATAGATTTAATACTTTTTTTGACATTTTAAAATTATTAAATAGAAAATGTAAGTGTTAATGTAAATTTAAAAATTTTAAAAACCAAAGTCATAATCCGTTGGGCCGATCCGAACCCACTGACACTGGGTCATTAAAATACAGTTCTCAATTCGAACCCGAAATAATCCAAACTCGAAGTGACCAAACCTAAACCCAAACCCAAACCCAAACCCAAACCCAACCTGATTTGCCAACTCTAGACTAATTCTATTTGATTATTTTGGCATGCACCCTCTCTCTTGCCATTCAAAGTGTATTCTTTTTGGATAAGTTCCATTAGCATGTACACGTGCCAAAACAAAAATAAGAAAAATTATTACTCTTTGACGCAATTCACCGCATGAGAAGAAAGTATTAATTTTTCATGTCCATCTAACAAAGTGAAAAATTCAAAACATTCAATTACTAAAAACAGAAATCCAATTTCACATATATGCAAGCATACATAGGTAAACAAGCTTATGTTCACATTCATTATCAAGTTACTATAGGCAAATCACAACTAGATGTAAATCGAAATAACCCAATCTCAAATACTATTTCAAATATACATTTCCATGAACAAAAAAAACTAAAATTCTAAACTAGTCATATCATGAAAATAAACAAAGGACAACAATGAAATTGGAATATAGATTCAGAAATTGAAAGATTTGTGCAAAAGGAAAAAATGAAAGCTTCCAAATATTTAAGTAAAAAATTATCTTAAATAATCACACTTTTTCACAGTTTTTTCAATAATCTCACTTTTCACTGTCACCGAAAATAATCTCATATTTTCGCATGTGTGCGAGTTTTGGGCCGGCGTTAAAAAACTAACGGTCACTTAACGGAATTTTTAGAAAATGCCTATTTTTGCAAAAAATGATAGGTGGGATTATTTTAGGTAAATTTACTTTTTTCTTTTTTTAATTTTAAGATTTATTTTTTTAAAAATATAACCGTACACTCTTTTTAGAGATTTGTGTAAATTTTTTGAAAAATATAACGATTTACAAATTTTGTTTTATGTTCTAGGGGAAATATAATATTCGACTATCGTAAAATAGATTAGAGTATTGCTCGAGAAAGAACTTGCAATACAAAAAAATTGTAGTGAGTTATAAAATTAATTAGTACCATTTTGGAGAAAAAAATGTTGTGCCATTTTCACAACTTTTAAATTATTATTTTGGGGAAAACATTTGTACTGAATTATCAAAAAATCACAAGTTGGGTAGTTCCATATTAGAAAAAATAATACGGGCAATAGAAGATTTCAAAGAAAAAGATTATTGTGTTATTTTTACAAATGTTGTAATGTTGTTTTGCAAAAAAACATCGATATAGAATTATCAAAAAAACATTCACAAGTTTTGTAGTACCGCTTTTTAAAAAAATAAAAATAGTACAGTATAAAAAAATTAATTTGAAGTGTCGCTCAAGAAAAATAATTGCACCATACAAAAAATGTAGTGAGTTATGAAGTAAATAAATTAGCTCCATTGTGCAGAATAATTTATTGTTCAATTATTACTAGATTATCGATTATTGAAAAAAATAATTACTTTCACCCTAAAAAAACTTAAATTTGGTGGACTATTATTCATAAAAACATTTTTGAAAAATAGATTTAAGTTTAATGTTGGATATTAAAAAATGAAAAGAGAGAATTTATCTAAAATGATCACACCTTTCATTTATTTGTGAAAAACAAGCATTTTCCAAAAATTTTGTTAAGTGGTCGTTAGCTTTTTTACGACGACCCAAAACTTGCACACATGCAGAAATGTGAGATTACATCCGGTGGCAGTGAAAATTGAAATTATTTTTAAAAGAGCGCAAAAAGGTGAGATTATTTGAGACAATTTTCTCAATGTATAAAGAAGATTTGAAATAATAAAGGCAAAAAATGTGAAGGTGGTGCAAAGTTTGAAAAGGAAAAAAAGTTGTTCTTCCATAGTTTTAATGTCCACATGTGAAATATAGTCATTCTCACACTTTTCATAAGTTGACACGCGAATATTTAGAAATTTGGAGGAAGTTTAAATTTGGATTACCTGGAGATTGATCCTTCTGAGAGGGAACGAAAATGGAGATAGAGATGAGGAAAGAGGCGACAATATTGAAGGACCTGTTGAGTTGTGAAGAGTCACAGAGAGTAGAAGACGCTCTTTTGTCGATAAAAGGAAAGCTTTATGGGGAATGGAAATAGGGGGTGGGAGGGTCCATTTCTTTCGTGATAACATATCTAACAAAAACATGATGAGCTGGAGAAAGAGATCTAAAGACAACGGAGTGTCATTAGTTTCATTTTGGAGCCACAATCATTTCACGTTTTAATATGCATGTATGTGTACTAAAACGTAAAATAAATCATTTCACGTTTTAATATGCATGTATGTGTACTAAAACGTAAAATGATTGTAGCTTCTAAACAAAATTAATGAGTGTTTCTTGTTCTTGAGATACCTATTTTCCCTCCCCTCCCCTTCTCTCCCCTAACCAACAAACACTCTAAGTCACATTTAGAGCATGTTCTTTATGACTGGAAAAAAAGATTTAGATGTTGGAAGAAACTAGAAGAAATTGGAAGAAACTTGAAGAACTGGAAGAAACTAAAAAAACTAAAATGAACTGGAAATTTTTCAAAAAATTGGATAACTTTAAAAAAATTATGTTAGTGTATTTTATATTATTCTCATTCTAATTCTTGTTGCTATAAATTATTATTATTATTATTATGATCATCATCATCATAATCATCATCATCATCACCACGTTATCTTAATTAATGATAGCCTTTAAGATAAAAAAAATTATTTTTATTTTTCATACACAAAAAAGTACTTTTGTTAAAAAAGTAAGTATAATATAAAGTTAGCTTCTAACATTGTTTACTATATTTAGCTATATTTTTAACCATTTAGTAAAACAAAAAATTTAACAAAGTTAAAAACAACATGCGTTCGACCCCGTACGTTGCACGGGTTAAACACTAGTATCTCCTCAAAAGTGACACTTGTGAGATTTAGGAAAAGGCAATATGAAATGCACTAGGGGGTCGCGGCATGACTATATATTTTTTTGGTACCCGAAGGCATTTTTAAATCTAAGGATGAACGAGAACTAGCAGCTTGGGAATCCAACAACTCTATCATACGCAATTAGATTTTTAATAGCATGGATGAATCTATTCAGCCAAGTATCGCCTCTCACTTCATTGCTTCAGTGCTATGGTCAGATCTGAAAAAGAGGTACAATACCTCTAATGGTCTTTGTATTTATCAATTAAAAACAGAGTTGAATGCACTACGACAAAAGGGATGAACCGTAGTTGCGTACTACAATCAATTCATAACTATGTAGAATCAGTTGCATGGAACCGACGATCCAGCAGTCGGCAAAACTCCTTTACATACACTGTGGTCGTACAAACCAAAATGTTGATGTTTGTTACGAAACAATTGGGTTTCTGACACATTATACTCGTCTTGCAGTCACTAGAGGTCCGTCGGCTAGAGGAGGACCCAACGAAGGAGTTGGCGGTCATGGGCTGAACACAACATGTAGTGGAGGTGTACGCGACAGCCCTGCCAGAACTCCACCCGTTGGCGATCAAATGGCCAGTCTCATGTCTTTGCTCGAATCATCCAATGCTGCTCAATACAATGGTACGACTTTGAATTCTCATCATTAGTTGATCGGTGCTGGGGCATCTCACCACATAATAGGTGATTTTGTCACAAATGTTTGACATTGAAGCCATACCATCTTGTAAAATAAATCTACCGAATGGTTTTAGCATTGAGGCAACCCAACATGGGAAAGTTCGATTTTCTCTTACTCTTCTACTCGCTGAAGTACTTTATGTGCCTAATTTGCATTGCCATTTGATCTCTGTTGGGAGACTCCTACATCATAATACTTATCATGTACTTTTTACTGATCAAAGTTGTGTAATATAGGACCTTTTGTCATAGAGGGAGATTGGACGGGGTGAACTGTGAAATGGAGTCTTCTTCTTCTGGCTCCAGGCTACTGCGGATACCACCACTGTCGACCCTCTTCTTCTCCATCAGCATTTAGGTCATCCGTCTCTACAAGTTACTTCTTTATTTAATAAAATCAATTTTGTTGTTTAGAAACTACAAATTTGTGATATTTGTTTTCTATCTAAACAAACTTGTTCATCATTTCTCGTTAGTCATAATAAAACTGATGCAATTTTTTACTTAATTCATTGCGATTTGTGGGGTCCTTATTCTCCTTGTTTATTATCGAGCGCACATTATTTCCTTACTATTGTTAATGATCACTCACATGTTTCAGTTTATCTCATACTCCCTCCGTCCCCCTGTATTTGTCCACTTTTATTTTTGCACATCATCCAATGCACTTCTTTAATCCATTTTATCTTGTAATTTGTATATTAAAAAAATTATAAAAATTATATATTAATAATCTATATGTTAAGACAAATCAAACAAGATCACACATGAACAGTTCCAAAAGTCAAAAGTGGACAAATACAGGGTGACGAAGGGAGTAAAAGATAAAAGTTAGGTTATCTCTTGTATCAAAAATTCCTTTGTCACGATTCAAACACAGTACTTGAAAACCATTAAAGTGGTACGATCTAATAATGGGACAAAGTTTTTAAACACTCTTGTTCGCAGATATTATGCTTCCATTAGGATATATATTCAAACTTTTTGTGTAGGCACCCCGCAACAGAATGGACGGGTAGAACTTAAGCACAGACACATCCTAAACATTGCTTGTGCTCTTATGTTCCAAGCATCTCTTCCCTTGGAATTTTGGGGGGAATGAATTAATACTTTTGTTTATCTTATGAATAGAACTCCAACCTAACTCTTTGATGGGAAATCCCCTCTCCAAGTTCTCACAAATAAAACACCTGATTTGAGTCATCTGCATGTTTTTGGATGCCTATGTTTTGTTCGTCATGTTTCCAAACCACCAAACAAATTCTCATCCAGAAGTTTCAGATGTATATTTGTTGGCTATCCGTACGGTACAAAAGGGTGGAGAGTCTACGACCTTGAAACACATTGTTTTTTTTGTACCCAACACATTTCGTTTGACGAATCCTAATTCCATTTTAAAATTCCTTCAAATCCACATCACCCGCCCCTTAATTACCTTTCCCAATCCAGTTTTCTAACATCGTTCATCACCAACGAGGACCAACTGGTTGCTGGCGACGCATCACTCACCCTTCCCGTGCCACCCATCATCCAACCCCCTTCACCACCATCAAAAACCCGATTGCTACACCGCCATCGATACCACCCGTACCACCCCTAGCCCCTTGCTCTCTTCATTCTCTTTCTTGCTTCAACGATTTCATCTCCTATTCTGCCCAATCTGCTACTCTATTTTTGCCTTCTCTTGCCTAGCCTTCATCTTCAGGTACAAGGTATCCTATTACTAACTTTGTTTTTACTAAAAACTTTTGTGACAGATATAAGGGGTTTCTCGGATCCGTTGATACTCAAAGTGTACCCAAAAATTTCCAGGAGGTTGTGCAACATGCCTCATGGCGGGAGGCTATGACACAAGAAATTTTTGCTTTGGAACATAATAATACTCGAGAAATTATTGATCTGCTTCCTCATAGATCAGCATTGGGGTGCTTGTGGGTGTTTTGTACTAAATACAAATCTGATGGTACAAAGAAACGTAACAAAGCCCGATTGGTCGTACTGGGAAATCATTAATAATGGGGCACCGACTATACTAAAACATTTGCTCATGTCGCCAAATTAGTGATCGTGCGTGTCCTTTTATCTATGGTCGTGGCATGCAAATGGGATGTTCATCGAGTTGATATTAATAATGCATTTTTACATGGTGATATGTGAGATGAGGTATATATGAAACTTCCTCTAGGCTCTTTTCGTCAATATGGGCTTCGTCAAGCTCATGTTGACCATACACTCTTTGTCATTCGCCAAGGGGCAGATATGTTGGTCATTTTGGTATATGTATATGACATCCTTGTTGAAGGGAATAATGGTTCTTTATGTAGATTGTTTACACAATACCTTGATGATTGCTTTAATCTCAAGGATCTTGGACCCGTTTCATATTTTTTGGGTATTGAATGTGCTCGATCTAAGGGTGGAATGGTGTTAAATAAAAGAAAATATGCCTTGGGTATAATTGAGGAAGCTAGCCTTATTGGTTGCAAACCCATCCAACCGGGCCACAATCTTGTTTTGTCCACTACTGCCGAGATTCGTGATCCAGCTAAGCATCACTGCATTTTTGGGCATTTGTTATACCTCACTCTGGCTCGTCCAGAAATTTGTTTTTCATTTCATGTGTTATCTCAGCTTATGCAAGCTGAGGCATTTGTTATACCTCACTCTGGCATGTTCTACGTTATCTTAAAGGACACCTTAGTCAAGGTAATCTTCTCCGAAGTGGGAGCAATTCAGCTCTCACCGCTTACTCTAATTCTTATTGGGCCAATTATCCTATCACACGGAAATCTATTACCGGGTACTTAATCCTTCTAGGAGAATTGATAATTTTGTGGTGTTCAAAGAAACAAACAATTGTGTCTCGTTTATCGGCTGAAGCAGAATATCGTTATATGGCTAATGCGTGTGCTGAACTTTGGTGGATCCGCGGATTACTTGTTGCCCTGTCTGTGCCGTGCGTCGCCACTCCAAAACTATTCTTTGACAATAAGTCTGTTTTATTCATTGCTGCCAATTGTTAGTCGGTGTTAGTCGTTGTGTCCACGCCTTAGAGGGGGGGGGGGTGAATAAGGCGTTTGAAAACTTTTTAGAGTTTAATAAAAATGGTGTTGGCAAATGCGGAAGCAATATATAAAACGCAGAAATAAAAGCGTAAAGTAAAATGCACACCGATTTTATACTGGTTCGGGATCTCCCTACTCTAGTACCTTAAGGCTCCTCCTTATGGATTTCCGAATCCACTAAGTCCCGGTCTCTTGAACTCTGTCAAAGCACCGCACTAGTTTTGGAAAACAACCCTTGCCAATAGGATTCACTCTGAGATTTCACCACGGCTATCTTGAACCGTTTACAACAAAGATTTAACAGCTATCTTCTACCGTTCCTCCTAGGATTTCAAAGGCTATCCTTGAACCTTTACCCAAGGATTTATACGACTATCCTTAACCGTTACAACGTGAGAATTTAACGGCTATTCTCGACCGTAAGAGGGTGTGTTTGAAGAACACAAACAATGATTCTACACAACGGCAATAATATAAAAATGAAAAACAAAAATTAGCCGGTGTAGAAGGAAATTATACCCTCTCAAAAATACAATATAAACTTATGAATATGAGAGTATATAACTAGAAACACAAGCTCAAAGTGT